GTATAAATACTAAGTAGCAGAAAGTTCCAATATTGAACTATAGGGAACACCAAGCAACCAAAATATCTGAAATACATCACCAAGAGAAATAAAAAACTGAATTAGCAAGGTAATATTTAGACCTTAGTATCTTTCTGTTAATTCTTCTTTATTTAACAATATAGAGTACTTGGTGCAATAAACCAATTCGTTTTAGGATATATTCAACTGAAACTCTCATTTCCATTTACAATATGCAGTAAACCTGTAGTCTCTTTCCCCTAAACATTATGGTTCTGTAGTAAGTATGTATTCCATATATAAACAAAATAAAAAGAGTGCAAAGGTATATTATTTCACTGATGCATCAGGTGTTACACTGTAACTGTGAGTTGGTAGGGCTGAGGATTAAGAGTCTATGTAATCCGCTGCTATTTGGTAGCAGAAAATGAGCTGATTCTGTGTAGGGAAAAAAAAAAACATATGAGGAGGTATGAAAATTCATGGATTCTTGCAAAATGTAAAAAATGTCAGCTGATGATTCTACACAAATGTTTTGTAATGCTGACATATTCACAAAGCATGGTTGATACATTTTTTATATCCAATAAAACTGCATAGGTCCTTTAACATTATGGTGTAGTATGTACTGTATGTGTTTATTGTCATTGCAATTTTTTCACTACATTACAGCATTTTGAAAGTTCACACATACTAAAAAAATATGTAGAACTTTATAATAAGTGGTATTCTTTCAACATTCTTCAGAATTCAAGTTACAGATTAAATACTAAAAAGAACTGCTCTGGACCAAATTCCAGAAAATTAATTAACTACGCATTATGTTTTAGTTTTATTTTCCACAGTTTCACCACAAATATTCTGGGATTTCAAAATAACTTTTCCTTGAATCACAATGCATTCTATATTTTTTTCAGATAAATATCTAACAGGCATGTGAATCATCAGTCGGAGTAGACTCTACATTTCTTTTGGATTTCAAATCAAGGATTCTGTATGTTTTCTCCCTTATTTTGCTTAATATTTTTTTTAGAGTCATGGCAGGGTTATGATAAAAAAAATAGTTGAAATTAATAGTTGCATTCCACTGGGAAACCAACTTCTCGTGCAATATGAGTTACACTTACAGTATTTATTTCTGTAAGACACATTTTTCAGTAAATCAAACCAATACAGTACCATTTGTTTGGTTAAACCGAGCTTCAGTGTGAAAAAGATGACAGGATGAGATTTTACAAGGCTCACCATATCTTTGATGATTTGAGGCCGCACTCTTCGCAACATCTTTACAGCCTGAAACACATCAACCTGTCCTTCGGACTGCAGCTGTTCATGCAGCAGGCTGGCCACACAGAAGAGACCACTCCGGCAAGCCCCATCCCTGTGCACAAATAAACCAGGTGATGACTATACTGTATCAAACATGACTTACCATCCTTTATGCTGCTAAAGCAGGTTAAATCCCATATTATACTACCATGTACAACTTGTTCTCTTCTTTCATTAATTAACTTTTCCTGATTTATTCTTTGTCTCTTTTGCCCCTTCTTAGAAATTTAGGATTGGATTGCACAATTGGATACAAACAGAGGTGAATGTAAGTTGATCAAGCCAAACGCTGCACAAAAGTTAGAAAACAGTGCCAGTATGCAGTACAGTACCTGTAGAACATTTTACCTAAACTGTGTGTAGAACGGTGGTACTGTAGGTAGAGACAAGATTTTTGCTCTTGGGGGAAAGCCATTCCTCAGAAAGCCTTCAGGAACAACCTGTTGCTCTAATTTACTTGATCAAATGAAAAAGGACAATTGTTTGGGTAACAGTTAAACACCAAGAAACTGTGGGATTTCAGTGGTTTGTCAATCTCTGCTTTCTGGAAAGAGCCTCTGTAATGGACTGGAGGTAGAAGGAAGGAAGGATTTCCATGCCAGTAAGCAACGTAGCCAGTTATATCTCAAGAGGACATTTGAAGAAGTTCAAAAAGAGCTAGACTTTTGTTTGTGTTTAGAGTTTAATTACACTATAAATAAAGATAAATGTTTTTTTTATATCATGGCTGTGTATGTGTGTGTCTTCCTGAGACTTTTAATACTTGTTTAGCTTCCTCCATTATTTATGACTTTGGATCTCTCAGCCTTTTTTTTTCATTTGATTACAGATGGTGAACTGAATTTTCAGCAAACCCATCTTCGTGTAATTTCAGGTGAATTATTGCAACAGCTTCGGGATAGAACAACTGCTGTAGGCAAGTTTCAAAATTAAAGATGAGCAGTGACAGGGACTGGCAGAGCAGTGCTGTCCACTCATCCTGTATAACTGATTTGTTGTTCATTTGCAGTTTGTCTATGCTGTGGAGGTATGGCAACACAATGGTGATGCAGTCTACATGACTAAACATGCATCAGTTTGGTACTATTAAGTAGACAGGAGAAAAATATCATCCTAGAAATTTCTTCTTTACAAAATGATACTTTCAATCCTGGATTTAAAAAAAAATCATTACGATCACTGTCTCTTCCTATTGTTTTATCCTTGGGCGTAGGTTAACCTTTTCATGGTTAAGAAACATGGAAAACAATTCATAAATGCAGCCCTGCCTTGTGCAACAACGTTTAACAAGCATGGTAAAAGACAGATGACCCTTTAGGAAAGTTTAGCAGGAGAATAGTTTTTGCTGGTGATCGGAGAGAGAACATAAATCATAAACTCCCTATTGCTGTCTGCTGCTTCCCAAATGTCAAGCGTGGCCCTTCATTTTAATAGACTAGCATGGAAATGTCAGAGAATCATCCAGCATGCGAAACAAAGCTGTCAATCACTGGTAAGATCTACAAAAACAAACAAGTCTGGGATTGTTCCATTAACCACCACATCAGGGCAGGAGATGTGATAGAGTTTGTTGGGGATAGAAATTTCAGAACAGTGCCAGTGAGTTCACTTCTATTTGTGTAGCCCCCTGGACAAGCGTAAGACTGAAAGTTGATTGGTTTCCATCACCATTTCTGTGCTCATGTTTACATTAGGATCTACTTGAGAAAAAGAGCTGTGTACTCATTTAGCTCTAGAATGTCAATGAAAGTCACACATTAATAATTTTATAGATTATAAAATTACATTTTGTGGCTGCACGTGGCAATAGATGAATGCATTATAATAACTGTGCCAGGAAAGAACACATTATAGCAAGAAAATGAAAAAATACAGAGCAGCAGTACATCTACTTGGATTGCAATGCTTCATTTCCAGTTTTGATGCATACTGTATGTCTTTAAGTTATGTTACAGAAACCATTTATTTTCTCCGTCATTCTGAATTGTTAAATCTGTACATTGACAGTTTGGAATCATATCACAAATAAACGTGCAAGTTTTGGAGATCTCTTAAGGTGATCTGAGGTGGTGGGAGCTGACCTGCACATGACAAGTGTAGGAGTTTCTTCATTGCCCTCCCTCTGACACTCTTCTCCATAGCTGCACATACTGATGATCGTGGCACGTGTCTTGGGAAGGATGTCTTTTTCTGGCCAGTTGTTCAGCTGAAGCATTTTTATTTGCAGAGCTTCTGCAAATGATTTCTGCAGCAAAAGCAAAAACATGAATATGTGAGCAATTCAGTGTTGAGTGATCTCATAAGAGGAATTTGATTAAAATGATGATGTTCTAGTTTTACTGAGTTGTGCGTGTATCTCAAAAGCATTAAACACTCATTTAATGACATGCACGTGGCGTTTTGTTGAGGAAGAAAATTGATAATTATCTGGGATTTACCTTTTGCATGTGTATGGATTTTCACTAAATTGTTTTATTGACTGAAAATCAGTCATCTGGAAAAGGTAAAAACTTGGCAGCAAAAAGACATTCACATAGGAAATATCGTATCTTTTGTGAGTAAAAAATAAACGTTGGATATACAGTATGTGCTGCATATATTTCACTACATTATAACATGCAAAGTCCAGCTCAGAAAGATAATCTATGATTGGTTTCCAAGGGGATAAAGAACATGATATTGTTTTGTGTTATTTTTTTCTAAAATAGAAGAATATAAAAT